TTCTGAAAATACAGAATTAAAAGCAAATGTTTCATCTACGCTTATTAGAGTTCATGCACGGGGAAAAAAATGGTCAAGAAAACCACAATTGTGATAATCATAACCCTATTGCATGGCAACATACGGGACAACCTTGCGAAGAGATTGCATTAACCAGTGTAACATAGTCAAAAGAACATAGTAAGGGTTACTTCACCATGTAGTCAATGAAGCTAGAAGGAACGAGTTCTCCCAACATTGTACATAATTGTGAATAGCAAAATATATCATTTGTTGCTCAAAAATGTGGTTTCTCGATTATCACTTTCCTTTTCCCTATTTTTCGTGAAGGGATAGAGTCATTGTAACTTAAGGTGAAGTGAAACACCCTTCAAATCAGTCGATTCGAATATAACACTTTTTTTTAAGAGTATTAGACCAAACTGTTCGAAACTTTGACACATCACTCCTGATCATCTAAGAATTGTCCTGACACATTCAAAATGTGGATTTTTCAAACAAATTTTTTAACTCAGCCCAGACCAGAACCAAAATGGCGTCGAGCTCTCATATTTCGATCAATATACAATTATCGAAGGCTCTGATATGAGAAGCGAAAGGGTCAGGACAATTTTATGACAATTTAAGACACTCTGGTAATCGCTAAACTCGCATTTGAATGGGACAAAGGCGAAATAAGTGTTGTATGCGCTTCTATGCCAAAACGATGATAATACGAAGTCTCGGAGTGAAGATTTAATTGACCTGGAAATCACAGATGGCGCAGGGAGTTCCTCTGCAATCAATTAGGGCCCCAGAAAACATGAATCCAGAGGATTTCTGGAGTTTTACTTCGATTTCCTTATAATTATTGTACGAAAACGACAGGTGGAGTATGCCATTTGGTACAATACCCAATATAATTCAACACAGCTGTCAATATAAACCCGAACGTCGGCAACGTAGGCATTTAGAAAATCTTCTTTATCGACGTCGATCAAGTTCCTCGACGTGTTTCACATCACCTGTATAAAACAGTAACCGGTCTTATATGCAAACGAGCAGCCTGCATCGTCTGCGAGAAGAGAAGTTTTGCCACCTGGCGGCACTGTCGAAATTAATGGGGCCAAACCATTATTTCTGCAATACACATATGCAAATTTAGAATAACTTTGCAACGCATAAAACATTACTATAATATGTGATCACAGCTCCCAGATAAACATTCCATTTCACTGTGCGTATTGTAATGTAATATTACCATTCCAATTGGTGATCACTCCTGCACCTTTTAAGCACAGTGCCATGGATACAATACCTATTTGCAAGGTTACATTTACCATTCCATGTGGTAAATTTCACCATTTATGCGGTTTTACTTCCCATAGTATTTCAACCATGTCACTACAGTCATTGCAACCAAATTATTTTTCTCCGTGTGGGTCACCGTATCTATCCAGTTTCGGGACCAGCAATGGTCCCCTCCATCTAAAGAAATTTTCAGGAATAGCTGTAAGCGAGAGAGATTTGTGTAGTTTTTTAAAATTTCTTGCGAAACATTCGGGCACCTGTAACCTCGTGGCTGCTTTTACGGGCGATAATATCGGTCGCCAAAAGGCGAACCGCGGGCGCGAATAGATCTTGGCCTCAGCATATACGGTCCGCGCGAGGACTCCGCGAAATGGCCCGGCCAAGGTTCCTTAGTTCCGCATCTCTCCCGCCCGCATTCTCATTTCCACTCCCTTTTCCTTGGGTATTATTATACCACGGATCAACAGGTAGATGTTGGACTCATAACATTTTATAATATAGATAATCGGTTGCCAATAGGCGGTTCAAGTTGAGCGATTAGGACCTCGGCATGTGCAGCTCTATGCAATGGCATGGTCAAGGTTTCTTACTTCCTCCTCCTTTCCTTAGCCGTGTTGTCATTTGCAGTCGTATTTCCTCGGGTTTCCTCTACCGCAGACTTGCTCGACAATTTTTTAAATATAACAATTTCCGATGTAGATAATTATTCGCTAGAAAGAGCATCATCTTAGGCGCCATCTTAAGGTGAAGTGAAACCCCCTTCAAATCAGTCGATTCGAATACACTTGTTTCAAGGATATTGGACCAAACTGTCCGAAACACATGTCTCGTGATCATCTATGAATTGTCCTGACATATTCACAATTTGGATTTTTTGAAAAAATTTTTTAACAGCCCAGACCAGAACCAAAATGGCGTCGAGCTCTCATATTCCGATCGATATACAACTACCGAAGGTTCTGATATGAGAAACGAAAGGGTCAGGACAATTTTACGACAATTTAGAACACTCTGGTAATCGATAAACTCGCATTTGAACGGGATAAAGGCAAAAAAAGTGTTGTATGCGCTTCTTTGCTAAAACGATGAGAATACGAAGTCTCGGAGTGAAAATTTAATTGACCTGGAAATCACAGATGGCGTAGGGGATCCCACTGCAGTCAATTAGGGCCCCAGAAAGCATGAATCCAGAGGATTTCTAGAGTTTTACTTTGATTTCTTTATAATCAATGTACGAAAACGTGGAGTATGCCATTTAGTGCAATACTCAATATAATTCGCCACGGCTGTCAATATAAAAACGAACGTCGGCAACGTAGGTATTTAGAAACATCTTCTTTATCGACGTCGATCAAGTTTCTCGACGTGTTTTACTTCACCTTAATATCTATTCATACGGATTCTATGCGAGAACTCCTCGAAACGATCAGGCCAAGGTTCCCTGCTTCCGCATCTCTCCGGTTTGTATTCCCATTTTTAGTCCCACTTCCTCGGGCGTTATTTTATGTTATGGGTCTACAGTCAGTAATTAATAATATAACATTCTGAAATGTAAATGACACTTTGCCAAAAGCTATAATACAGAGACGAACAGATTCCTGTTTCACTACACGCAGACCACGCAAGAACTCAGCGAAGTGGCTCAGCCAAGGTTTCGTACTTCCGCGTCCCTCCGCTTGCATTCTCATTTCCAGCCCCATTTCCTCGGGTATTATTATGCTATGGACCAGAAGGCAGGTCTTATATGTGCGTCTCTCGGACTTGGAGCGTCCCTCGACCACCATATTTGAATTTAATAACATCACGGCCCAATGCGGAGCCTCACACCTGACGAAGCCAAGCAAACTCGCTGTACCAACGGATGACAACTCCTGGATCTCATTCTAGAAGCGCCACACAGTTGAGAGAACCCAAACTTCTCGAAGCAGCAAAAGGTAGAGGTTAATGAAAATTTGTTAAGCTTTTTATAGAGAACCGATTTCAAGAGAGGATGCAAGAGCGCAACATTGGTGAAAAGGATTACATACGTGTACTTCTTACTATTAATATGTGATGAATTTTAGGGATGTGTGTTTTAGTGAAGACTTTTCACGATAATATTTCGTTTCTACCGTTACGTACTGTTATTTTTTAGATTAAATGCAAAGAAAAATTAAGTAGGTTAAGAAGTAAACGTTACGCGTAAGGCAGAGGGTTAAAGTTGATTAATTTGGATATGGAAGTTAATACACATTCATGGCATTAACCGAAGTACGACGATGTTACCGTATAATTATCCAACACTTATGAGTAACAGTCCCCATTTAACCATAATATGGGTTTTAATTTTAGCTCTTAACTTTTACAGAGTCGTGTACGTGTGAATTAATATCAATCCTTTATTTTTTAAATTATTTTGTCGCATTTAAGAAATGACTAAGTTATTCGATACAAATATTATTAACGGATAAGTTACATTTCGCTCGACACAATTGTGAAGCTTTATATCGTCTCTCAACTGGGGTTATGAATTTTCAAGAACAAGCGCCCTGGTCAACCTGGAGAATTCTTCCCAATAAATTGTGCCGCGCCCATCGTTTTGAAAAAAGCAAATAGACGATAAACGAGCCCAAAAGTGATCTAATCCTCGCGTGGGTAGATGCTTGGCCCTCATTTTCTCCGGCACGCAGTTCCGCCATTGTTCTGTCCATCAATCACGCCAGTGAACACAGGGCGACACTTCAAATCGTTTAAACTCATTCGCTACCTTTATCCATTGACTCATAATTGTCCAGTGAGCAGTCGCGACCACGCGTCGATCATTTCCATGCATATCATTTTCCTTCTTCAATTACAACAGGGGCCAGTCCTACACCGCATTTCGTTGAATAGTGCACATATTGTGGCTACTAATCATACCTAGATACCAATGTCATAATCTTCTTATAATCTATTTTTAATATTAATAATTTTGCACATAATTAAAGACATTTATTACTATACATCAAGCTCTCTGTAACGAGCTTTTGGTACTGATGTGTGGAGAGATGGTGTGTGTGCCCTGTTTGTTGTGTTTCGTCCCGGGTCTGCCTGTGTGGACTCGTCAGTAAGGCTATCAGGCAGACCCTGCCTTAGACACCGAAAAATCTCTCCTGAGTGGGATTTGAACCCGAGAGACTACATGGTATGAGCGGTGAGCTTAACCGCTGGGCTATCGAAGGCAGAACTTGTAATATATATATGTGCTATGACCGCCACAAGCTATTACAAATTTTGGGTCTTAGGTGTGGTGGTGGAGATGGTGTACCCCATTTGTTGTGTTTCGTCCCGGGTCTGCCTGTGTGGACTCGTCAAGTAAGGCTATCAGGAAGACCCTGCCTTAGACACCGAAAAATCTCTCCTGAGCAGGATTCGAACCCGAGAGACTACGTGGTATGACGGTGAACGTAACCGCTTGGCTATCGAAGGCCCGTGTAGAAGGAAGAACTTCTCATATATATATGTGTGTGTGTGCTATGACCACCACAGAATTAAAATTTGTGTGGTCTGAAAAATGAAATAAATTATATTTATTTTTTCCTAACCAAAGATACGATCATAATATGTACCGACATGGAGATAGTATTTCGCCATGTTTTCATGTGAATGGTACACATGCTAATGTCACAAGTATTAACTCGCGCGCAATTATTATAATTTTAGATTAAAACTAATGAAGAAGTCGAAGATCATACATTTTGCAGAACTCAAACGCTTTAGTTTCTCAACTTCTTTAACAAAACATGTCCTATTTACACAGTCTAACCGAACGTCAACAATAAGCACATCTCTTCCAGTACTATACTAGTAAGCGTTATTGTATTTATTTACAAATTACGTTTATATATGTGTACTGAATGGCTTAACTACTCATTCTTCATATCATGTAGAGACTTCCTTCCGATTGCTTATATCGCCCAGGACTGATATTCTCCGAAAAGATCACAAAATCCTGCAGAAAAAAAATAAACATTTAATAAGTCATAAGTATAGGTTTCTCGTTCAGTTCCTGTTAACACTAGGTTTACGGGACCCGTCAATTTGACGGAATTCAAACTTCGAAAAGAAATACCGAAAAAACCATAGCATTAATTTTAACCATTTTTGTATCGTAAATTAATCATTTCATCCAAAGAATTTGTACACGCAATTATTTTTCCCTAAGCCTTCTAATTATTAAAATCTGTATGTAGTATACCTATTTCTACGAAACCCGTCAAATTGACGGACTAGCTAATTTCATAAACAATCCATATATATTTGCTTCGTTGCAGAGAGTGTAAGGCGAAGATGAGAGTAAAAATTTGCATTGAAAGTGGAAAGATAAAAGGATCTTCGGATAGTGAAGAGGAAAACTTCTTGAAAGGGGGTCGTAGCAAGAAAAGGATGTGCATTCTTTCTAGTTCTGACTCCGAGGATGAGAGGACGAGCATTCCAATAATTTCCGTGATAATTTTTAAAAAAGGACTTTTTACTTATTAATAATTCATTTAAACGTAAAGCCTAATGTTGTTTAATTCAGACTTAATTTGAATATATCGATTTTTTAAAGAAAATGCGTGTTTTCGTTTACCCGTCAATTTGACGGATGCTCGTAGAAACAGGTATATATAAAACGCCCGTAAACCTAGTGTTAATCAAATCGTCGCTCTCGCCTGTTGGCGAGGCTTAGCACCCCTTTCTCTCGGTGCGTCTGGAGAGGTTAAGAAAAAGATACTCGTAGAAAGAGTTCAGCGTCGGCCGTGGAGTAGCTTCCCCGAGAACGGAGATCTCTCGAGGAACTCGCCTCTCCTTGTCTGGGCTACCACTGAAGCTTAAAGCACTTACGCGTCGCAGACGGCGGCGATGACACCACTGCGCCATTAACCCCTCATTAGCGGTGGGAGATGTACATACATCTCTCTCTCGCGTTGTCTCGCCACGCGCCACCGCATAGTCCCGAGATCGAGTCTGCGCATGCGCAGTCAAGACGGTGGCGGCGCGAACCGAGGCGGCGTCACGCGCCGGTGGCGCTGAGGTCGCGCCTCGTCATACGTCGTGGGTGAGTGTTTGCAATCTTGTCGCAACCTTGCTAGCAAGGACCACCTTTATTTATCGTTCCTGCGTCCGCAGGTCGTATTCGTTCGGGCTCGTCCTTTGACCGCTGACATCGACTCGGAAGGCTGCGTCACTCGAAACTTCTAGTCTCTCTGAACACGAGGGGGAGAATTTTTTTAGTAATAATTGCAACATCTTTATTCATGGCCTCTCTGGAAACAAGTATTGTCCCGCTGGGAGTATATTAAATAAAGGTTACCGTTTAGTATCTGTCATCTAGAACTCAAGAACCGACATTGCCGCCGGCAGGAAATACTTGGCATGAATAGCTCTGAGCAGCAATTAAGGATATCCTTCATCGAAATGTTGGAAAAAGATTTCCAGTTTCCAGATAAAGATCTCCTAAGGTAGGAAATTAGTTACTTTTGGTTAGAAGCAAACGGAATCTGGTGAAAGTTACGAGCGAGTAAACTTGTCGGACCTTGTCCGATATATTGGACCCGGCGATATCTACATTTTTCACATTCCACCAAAGTCACGAAAATTAAGGCGATGTAAAAATGGCATCCGAGGGATCAATCATTTGTGAAACTTTTCACGAAACCGAGTACACCAAATCGTTTGAAAGTTTACCACGTGAATGTGAAAGTCCTAAGAAAGGCCCTGATACCCATTAAATTTCATTTTCTACGAAATTATTAAAAATCGTTTATACAAAAATTGAAAAAATGAAGTTTTACAAGCGTCAAGACTTTCTTTAAAGTCTCCATATTTACGGGATAACATTTCAACCGATTTCATACTTACATTTCGGAAAAAAGTTCATAAACGAGACTAGACGCCCCTTTCGTATCACCTTAAAATTCCAGACTGAGTTCATCCTCCATTTATTTTTATCGGCTCAATATCAATACACTCGATTTCATTGCACTTTCATTAATCCGCAAGTCATCTACCATTCTCACTTTAAAAGCATTTTCACTTTGTCGAGGAAGAATACCTACATTTCCTCCGGGAACTCGTAAGACGTCTTTCGACCCATAATATTAGATTGAGGAATAAGTTTCCGCCGTTCTCAACGTAACGTAACGTAATTAAAAATGGGGGAACTTATTCCTGAACCTAATAATAGAGAGATCAGCACTAAAACTACCCTAGCATGGGAACAGTACAGTACTCACGTGGTTGAAACGTTAAGGGGGTATTATCGCCTAGAAGCTTGTTTTTTCAGTAATTTTTAGGAATTAATTTTTCGAAAACTATCAAATCTACAGAGCCAGGGTTTTTGACGCATATTAAGACGTTTCAACTGGCAACACAAATTTTTATGAAATTCATTATTGAAATCTATGCAAGGTATGCGCTGTTATGCAGGTCATTGCGGGAGACGCTCGTCCAATCGGGCAGACGGGTTGCGGCGATTTTAGTCGTCCGAAACCGAAGAACAAAATTTTGTTTAAATCTATATAAATGTAATTACCGTCTGAACTAGAACTAAGTAAGTACGAAATTTTTTTTCGGAATCGCAGCTGTTTGAAAATTAAGGTGCCATTTTCCCGGAAAATTTTAAACTAAAACATGAGAGCGGGGCTAAAATATCCAAGCTATCGGTATTATTCTAGTTCGGACTATAGGTAAAGGTTCCGTCGAAATGTGTGCAAAACCCGAAGTGAATCGGCCTAATAGTTTTTGAGAAGAACGTGTGCCCGACTTGAAAATTGTCGTTTCGAGAAAAACGCGTTTAAAGTTTGCCATACATTTAGCACGTACGGTGGATAACAACTGATTTGAGTAAGTTACCCTTTAACCCCCTAACTTGTGCGTTCGAGTTAATTCGAGCGTGTTAAACAGGCCAAACTGTGCACACTCGAGATCATTCGAGCGGCGTTGTATTTTATGCTACTATAATTTTTCACCCTCGAGTATAATCGAGAATTTTATTTTTTTGCCAAGACAATGTAGTTTTTTTTCCTTTAAAAAAATTGATTTTTTTTGGCCGGTTTTTTGAAAAAATCTGTGCGTTAAGGGATTAATCAGCTATACCGGGACCATACAAACCATCTTATCGAACCTTAATCACCTTTTAAAAAAAGAATATCGAGCCGCACAATGGACACAACGGTCTAGGTACAACGGTCGAGGGGATGACTACCTTCCGCCCCCCAACGCACCGCAGCCTTTAAGATGAAATGAAACACCTCGAGGAACTTGATCGACGTCGATAAAGAATATTTTTCTAAATGCCTACGTTGCCGACGTTCGTTTTTATATTGACAGCTGTGTCGAATTATATTGAGTATTGTACCAAATGGCATACTCCACCTGTAGTTTTCGTACAATAAATATCAAGAAATCGAAGTAAAACACCAGAAATCCTTTGGATTCATGCTTTCTGGAGCCCTAATTGACTGCAGAGGGACCCCCTGCGCCATCTGTGATTTCCAGGTCAATTATATTTTCACTCCGAGACCTCGTATTCCCATCGTTTTAGCATAGAAGCAACACTTTTTTTGCCTTTATTCCGTTCAAATGCGAGTTTATCGATTACCAGAGTGTCCTAAATTGTCATAAAATTGTCCTGACCCTTTCGTTTTTCATATCAGAGCCTTCGATAATTGTATATTGATCGAAACATGAGAGCTCGATGCCATTTTGGTTCTGGTCTGGGCTAAGTTAAAAAAGTTTTCCAAAAATCCAAATTTTGAATGTGTCAGGACAATTCTTAGATGATCAGGAGTGATGTGTCAATGTTTCGGATAGTTTGGTCGAATATCCTTAAAAAAAAGTGTTGTATCCGAATTGACTGATTTGAAGGGGGTTTCACTTCACCTTAAACCTCTGTAACCACGGGAGTTCGACGAATTTCAAATTAATATTTTCGAGACACATTATCAGAATCTCAAACTATAAGAACATGCAAAAAACAATCGAATTTTTGAAGTTTCTAAACGATAATACCCCCTTAAAACATCTATTCAAAGCTAAAGCATCGGAAACAATCGAAAGACCGAACTGGTCCAAGTCACCCAGTTTGCCTACTAGACCAGCTGGCAACAGTATACAACTCAATTGGCTGCGGTGCGTTCACTCAAAAGACGTACGTACCACGGTACGGTCGCGGTCTTGCGAAATCGCCGATATATTACATATAGAACGGCGTGCTAATTTTTCCCTTGTTTATGACAAGTCGAAGCGCAAGCACGGGGCGAATATGGTCGAGAGGTCTGTGGTTCTTTTGCACCTCGTTACCCGATAGTCTTTACTGCACCGTGGGTGGGTGTTTGCAACCTCATGTCGCAACCTTGCAAGCAACGACCAAGTTTATTTGTCGTTTTTGCGCGCGGGGCACTGCTCGCAAGAACTCGGTTAACTTCATCCTCGGCCCAGTGTCGTCAGAGACCACGAAGAGTCTTCCGCGCAAGAAATGTCCAATGATGCCCAATGATGAGCGCAGCTCCTTCATCCAACTCCGTCGGGACGTCGGAGAAGGTTCGCTTCTGGAAAGAGACCTCGCAAGATTGAAGCCGAATCGTTTCTCAGTAAAAAAGGAGCGGGCGTTGGAGAGAGAGTACTCAGGCCGGAGGTTCGATCTCTGACTCATGCTAAAATAAGAGCGGGTGAACATAGGGCCGAATATAATTACGAGCACAAACATGTAATGGATGCAATGAGAGTTTTTCAATTGCACTGACTGAGCATATACCACATGTAATGAAAATCCTTTTTATGCGAAATGCTTCTTGTTGGATCGTTGAAAAACTTAACAATTTATTTTAACGATCTGAGCTTATGTTCGAAGGTGTACAATTGAAGTCCGGTTCTCGAAGTACAATGTGTTCGATAACGCGCGGAAATCTAACTAACAAGGAAACATTCCCAAGTGTCCGCCTCCGATCTTATTGAGTTTCATATATGTTGAAGAACACAAAAATCTAAGAGACACGTGTTTTTTTATATCTGCAATGGTCCACATTTAAGGGGTGAAACAACCCCCTAAAGTGTAGCGAAAAATCGGTTTTTTAAATATTTTTCGTAGGAGCAGTGGAGGGATTTCGACGAAACTTTGTATAAACGTATTCTGTATAAGGACGGTGACAACACAATATTGTTCAGCAATGTTGCACCCCCTCAAGGGGGTGAACTACCCTTCAGGTGACATTTTTTTGTAATATCCATTAAACAAGCACTCCTACTTAAGTTCCACTTACGCGATGTGATTGCTCGCAAAAAATTAAGAAATACGTGTTTTTTGCTTTTTGCCAATAAACATTTAAACATCGGTTGTAAACAATGAATGTAGGTGGTATTGAAAATCCAATTTTATCGTTTCACCACGGAGATTGTATTACTAGTTGGAAACGGGTGATGACTGCATCGTCGAATCCGTTGCGAAACAATTTTAGCCTCTGAAACTATTTTTTAATTTATTTATAAATAATTGCATGTTATGAAAATCAATGACATTTTGAAGAATTACCACGTTGACACGACTTATGTACGATGAATTGGTCACGATATAACCCAATAAAGGTAGTCGGGATATACCCTAATACCACCTACATTCATTGTTTACAACCGATGTGTAAATGTTTATTGGCAAAAAGCAAAAAACACGTATTTCTTAATTTTTTGCGAGCAATCACATCGCGTAAGTGGAACTTAAGTAGGAGTGCTTGTTTAATGGATATTACAAAAAAATGTCACCTGAAGGGTAGTTCACCCCCTTGAGGGGGTGCAACATTGCTGAAAAATATTGTGTTGTCACCGTCCTTATACAGAATACGTTTATGCAAAGTTTCGTCGAAATCCCTCCACTGCTCCTACGAAAAATATTTAAAAAACCGATTTTTCGCTAAACTTTAGGGGATTGTTTCACCCCTTAAATGTGGACCATTGCAGATATA